GCGGGCGCATGCGCAGGGCTTCACTGGGGGTCGGCCCCGGGGCAGGCACACGCTGGTTTCCGGGGAGAGGGGGATGCTGGGAGGAGGGGGATGCAGGGGACTCTCTGCCTCCACTGGCATCCCACTCCCCTGTCCTCAACTACAGAATGCTGTCCCCATTCCTGTCCCCACTCCCCGAACTCTGTCCCCAGCTACAGAACTGTCCCCACTCCCCTGTCCCCAACTACAGAATGCCGTCCCCACTCCCTGAATTCTGTCCCCACTCCCCGAACTCTGTCCCCACTGGCACTCTGTCCCCTGCTGCAGAATCCTGTCCTCTGCCTTCCCAGCACCCTGTTCCCTCTCCCCTGCCCCCAGCCACAGTACTCTGTCCCCACAAAATGTATAATTATAAATGCTTCATTTCAGATTTAAATAGCATGAATAAAAAACAGACTATTTATTTCATAACTATAAACACGTGATTTTAATAGTATGTATTGTATAATTTAAAAATAAACTGTTTATCAGAGTGGTGTAAGTAAGGGCTGGGGATAGAAAGTGATGGACAGGAGGAGAATAGAGAGGGCGGGGCTTCAAGGAAGGGGAGGGGCTTCAAGGAAGGGGTGGGGCAGTAGATCGTTGCCTGTTCTGAGATTTAAAAAGTGATCTTGGGTGTAAAAAGGTTGGAGACCACTGGTCTATAGCATTAATTTATAAGCTTTTGCTTATCAGCTAATGGGTTAATTGCTTACACTATTACAGTGGTCCCCAACACGGTGCCCACTCGGGCGGCAGTGCCGGCCCTGGGCGTGCCCCACGACGCGTGGCCCCATCCCTGGGCGCCCGAGAGCTTCTAAAGGTTGGGGACCACTGCACTATTACATCCCTAAACTGAATACGACCCTTCTGTACTTAGACCATCTTTCATGCCCTGTTAGGAAGATGCATTAAGTAGTGTATTTGCCCTACAAGGTATTACACAAAAAGTGGGATTTTTTTTAAATTGCTTTTTTGCTGTTATTTTTGTTTTACTGATAGGAGGATGTATGTTGCTTAGAGAAGCAACATGCATCCCTGCATTCAGTAGAACAAAAATACCTTGAAGAATCGAAGAATCTTGGCTTGTCCTGACATTTAAAACGTGATCTTGGGTGTAAAAAGGTTGGAGACCACTGCTCTATCTGATAGACAGCAAGGGTGGGGGAAGTGACTAGTTGACTATCCTATCGACTGTTTATCGGATAGTCAACTAATCCTTCACATCCCTAGTGGGAGCCAGTACTCGCAAGGAGCCTGCCCCCACAGAGCCACATGCCGCCCCCTTGTGCTGCGCAGGCGGAAGTGTGAGTGGGGGAGGGGGGAGCAGTTCCCCGTGAGCACTGGCTCCTGCCTGTCCCCCACCTCCTAGTGTAAACATGCAACTTCTGAAAGTTTCAGTGGTTACATATTGACCAATATAAATGCATTTTTGACATCCCTTGTCTTAAACAAAAACTGGTGACTGTAATCCTCCAGATGAAATGCTTTCAGGGGAGCTATAATTCCAAACCTGTTGTAAAGAACGTTTTTTCCATGTTATGATACTTCATTAATCTATGTCTGCTGTGCAGTTTGTCTTGGGGTCTGAACAGTAGCCCTTATTACTATACAAATTTTTCAAGGAATATGGCTTAGTTTTTATTGGTGTTGTTAAGCTGCAAGTCTGTTATGACTGCCAAAAGACCATGAATTGAACTGTCAACGGTCAGGCATTCTTTGACTGTTGCAGTATGTTTTTCTTGTACTGTTAGGCCAGGAGGTTTGTACCTTACCTGTGACTATGATACTTGTGTGTGAAACCACATTTGTACAATTTTGTACCATCTTATTGAGAAGAGCTGGACATACATGAATGATGTAAAGAATTACCTTCCTGACTGAGAAACTAGCATGGTCCTTTGGCCTTAGTTTTGGATTGTTGGTACACTCAAGTTTATATCAGTCGTAGATTGATAGAAATGCCTTGTTTGATCTGTCGATCTCCCTGCTGGTGCAAGACTGCTTCTTAAAACATAATATATTGAGCTTCCGTATCATTATATATGCTAATCACTTTATATTAACATGCTGCATGTGTAAGTTGTAAAACCTCTTCTCTAATTTAAAATACATTCTAGTTCACATGCCAAAAGTTTATTTTGCCATGTGAGTTACTGATCAAACACAGTGCAAATGTAAACTATTAGGAATCTGCAATTCTCAAATCTATAGGTACACTAAGTAGAATTTAAACCATTTTAAATTGTGTGTGGTGATAGTGAATTTGTGAAATTTTTTGATACCTGTAACTTAAACTTACTTTCATGTATTTTGCTTTTATATATATATATATATAAGCATACACATACATATGAGTGTGGCTTAACCACGAGATCTTGCATGATCTAAAAATTAAAAAGGAGTAATATAAAAAAGGAAGCTAGGACAAATTACAAAGGATGAATATAGGCAAACAATACAGGAATGCAGGGGCAAGATTAGAAAGGCAAAGGCACAAAATGAGCTCAAACTAGCTATGGGAATAAAAGGAAACAAGAAGACTTTTTATAAATACATTAGAAGCAAGAAGAAGACCAAGGATAGTGTAGGCCCACTGGTCAGTGAGGAGGGAGAAACAGGAAACTTGGAAATGGAAGAGATGTTTAATGACTTCTTTGTTTCAGTCTTCACCAAGAAGTCTGAAGGAATGACTAACATAGTGAATGCTATGGGAAGGGGGTAGTTTTAGAAGATAATATAAAAAAAGAATAAGTTAAAATCACCTAGAAAAGTTAGATGCCTGCAAGTCACCAGGGCCTGATGAATACTCAAGGAGCTGATAGAGGAGGTATCTGAGCCTCTAGCTATCATGTTTGGAAAATCATGGGAGACAGGAGAGATTCCAGAAGACTGGAAAAGGGCAAATATAGTGCCCTTTTTTAAAAAGGAAAATAAGAACAACCCAGGAAACTACAGACCAGTTAGTTTAACTTGTGTGCCAGGGAAGATAATGGAGCAAGTATTTAAGGAAATAATCTGTAAACACTTGGAAGCTGGCAAGGTGATAGGGAACAGCCAGCATGGATTTATAAAGAACAAATCATGTCAAACCAATCTGATAGCTTTCTTTGATAGTATAACGAGTCTTGTGGATAAGGGAGAAGCGGTAGATGTGATATACCTAGACTTTAGCAAGGTGTTTGATACGGTCTCGCATGATATTCTTATCAATAAACTAGACAAATACAACTTAGATCAGTGGTCCCCAATGTTGCGTGGCTGCCGGGCGCCCGGGGGCGGCACTGCGTATGTGCCCACGAGCCACGCGCCCCAGGCCAGCACCGCACATGTGCCCTGGGGCCGGGGCTGGGGCCGCCCACGCGCCCCGGGCCGGCCCTGCGCATGTGCTGCGCGCCCAGGGGAGGGGCCGCCCATGCGTCCTGGGCCTGGAGCCGGCACCATGCGTGTGCCGCGCGCCGAGGGCAGGGCCAACCCAGATGTTCCAGCGGGCGTCCAGAAATCCCCCAGCGGGCGCCATGGCACCCGCGGGCACCGCGTTGGGGACCATGGACTTAGATGGTGCTACTATTAGGTGGGTGCATAACTGGCTGGATAACCGTACTCAGAGTAGTTATTAATGGTTCATAATCCTGCTGGAAAGGTATAACAAGTGGGGTTCCTCAGGGGTCTGTTTTAACCGGCTCTGTTCAATATCTTCATCAACGATTTAGATATTGGCAAAGAAAGTACACTTATTAAGTTTGCAGATGATACCAAACTGGGAGGGGTTGCGACTGCTCTGGAGTACAGGGTCATAATTCAAAATGATCTGGACAAATTGAAGAAATGGTCTGAGGTAAACAGGATGAAGTTTAATAAAGAGAAATGCAAAGTGCTCCACTTAGGAAGGAAAAATCAGTTTCACACACACAGAATGGGAAGCAACTGTCTGGGAAGGAGTACTGCAGAAAGGGATCTAGGGGTTATAGTGGACCACAAGCTGAATATGAGTCAGCAGTGTGATACTGTTGCAAAAAAAGCAAACATGATTCTGGGATGCATTAACAGGTGTGTTGTGAGCAAGACACGAAAAGTCATTCTTCCACTCTACTTTGTGCTGGTTAGGCCTCAGTTGGAGTATTGTGTCTAGTTCTGGGCACCACATATCAAGAAAGATGTGGAGAAATTGGAGAGGGTCCAGATAAGAGCAACAAGAATGATTAAAGGTCTAGAGAACATGACCTATGAAGGAAGGCTAATAGAATTGGGTTTGTTTAGTATAGAAAAGAGAAGATTAAAGGGGGACATGATAGCAGTTTTCAGAAATCTAAAAGGGTGTCATAAGGAGGAGGGAGAAAACTTGTTCATCTTGACCATTGATGATAGGACAAGAAGTAATGGGGTTAAACTGCAGCAAGGGAGGTTTAGGTTGGACATTAGGAAAAAGTTCCTAACTGTCAGTGTAGTCAAACACTGGAATAAATTGCCCAGGGAGGTTGTAGAATCTCCGTGTCTGGAGATATTTAAGAGTAGGTTAGATAAATGTCTATCAGGGATGGTCTAGACAGTATTTGGTCCTGCCATGAGGGCAGGGGACTGGACTCGATGACCTCTTGAGGTCCCTTCTAGTCCTAGTATTCTACGATATACCTGAAAACTTTTTTCTTCATTGAAGGTCCAGATCAAGAAGACATTCTCACAGACGTTACACGCGCTCCAGATCCCATTCTCATTCCCATAGGAGACGATCTCGAAGCAGATCGTATACACCAGAATATCGTCGCCGAAGGAGCCGCAGCCATTCTCCAATGTCTAATCGAAGAAGGCACACTGGCAGCAGAGTATGTGGTATTAATCATGGCTGATTTTTTTTTTTAAATGTCTTAAGATATAGCTGCCTGCAGACATTTATATTATAAGGGCGGCTAGTTTAAAAAAAAGATTAATAATTTACAGTCACTTCTTTGTGTATGCAGATGAGTAAGTTAAGAGAAACTCCAGATGTCTGCCTTTAAGACTGACTGAAGGAATAAGAGTTTCCGGACTAGTTATCCATACCTATCTTGTAATGTGTTGTTTTCCAGACGCTTTTAAGTCTGGTAACCATAGCCCTTTAGCTATTAAAGTGCATTTCTTTTTGCCGCCTTGGTGAAGAAGGTGCTTTGTGATTTCACATCTTGGTACATTTGGAATTTAATCAGTTCTGCTATGTGCATCTGGTGGATAGGATGTGGGAATATAATGCAGAAATCTGCCTGTATGAAAGTTCTAGCCAGAGGAGTAAAGAATCTAGCCCCAGAATCTCATCTGCAACTCAATAGCATGTAAGGGGTAACAAATCTGTTGGGATCTAATGATTCAAAGTGGCATGGATTTTTAGTTTTTAAAATAAATTACACTTGTATTTAGCTACAGTATAAACCAGTTCTTTATGTATATTTCAGAATGGTGGTATCTTAAGTATCTCAAAGCACTTCACAAACAAACAAAAAACCCTTACTTACTCAAAGCCAAGACATGGGATTGATGGAGGGATTAAAATTTACCCAAGATTAGACTTTACCTTGGTAGGATAGGATCATGACTCCTGGTTTTATGAAAGATATCTAGACTTCTCTAAAACACTTGAGTATGCTGCAGATTAATTTTATTTAATGTAATTTCACTGTTGGACAAATACATCCTGTCATCTTTTAATCCTTTTAAATTTGTAACCTAAGAAATAATTCTGCACCTTGTTTGACTTGAACATCTTGCCTGAATTAACTTTTAGCAAGACTTCTTGGAATGTCAGTGTAGGAATTGATTTTCAAGTATTTTATCAATTATCTATGGAAGAATTAGTTAAATTGGCAGATGACAGTGCCAAATGTAATTATTTACATTAAAATGTTGAGAATATGAATTAATATAACACTTAGAAAAAATGGCTGTAATTAATAATGAAATTTATAAAGTATACTAGTTATTTTAAATGAGGGCTGAAGGAAGATGCAAGAATAAATTCTGCTACCACTTTAGAAAAGACACTGCAAATAATTCCTCTTGAAAAGGTCTTTTCACAGAGAGAGACATTTGTAACACTAATTCCCCCTTTCAACCTAGTTAAACCCTTTAGACTCTCCAGAAGGTAATTTATAAAATCTAAAACATAATACCCAAGTAGACTTTTTTATCCTATCCATGGAAGGGAGTGCCAAAGATGACACACAAACCTTTAGGGACTGCACTATTCCTGTTGGTTTTACATGAAGGATTCTCACATGCAGTGGTGGTGAGGCATTATTCATCTCCTATAACAGGGATTGTAACCTATTACATATGGTTACAGTGTGATAAGGTTGCATAGTTACTGTTATGCTTAGCTCTCTGTGCCACATTAGAAAGATAATACAGTAGTAAAGATTTAGCTGTCTTTGGCATACTGTATGCCAGTGTTTCCTAACTTGTGGTCTGTGGACCGCTAGTGGTCCACGTCAGTACTTCAGGGGGTCCATGGAAAGTTTAAAAATAAGGATCAAACCTGATCCTTATTTTTCTTTTTTTCTCTCTCTCTCTCTCTCTCTCTCTCTCTCTCCCGGGGCGGGGGGAGGGGATTCATGAAAAGTTTATAGATTTTAAAAGGGTCATATGCTCGAAAAGGTTGGGAACCACTGCTGTATGCAAATAGGAGATACTTAGAAGGGCAGTACAGATAGCAGTTGGTATAGAGGACTTGCCCATGAAGTTTGATTTTGATTAGAGACCTCAACCCCCTCAGCAATGCCATTTCTGCTCCTTGAGAACTGCCCATATTAACTTATCAGCCACAGAAGGCAGTTGCCCTAGAGTAGCACATGGCTTGCAGGTGCCATGTGAAGAGTCAGTCGGATAAGTGGAGATCCTGTCTTGATTATCTTCACTCCCTTCCCAATTGCCCCCTGAGTTGACGGAGTGCCTACCCCGGTGATGCCCCTAAGAGCAGGCAAATGGAGGTAGATCCAGAATCTGGCCTCCTGAGTCCTATGTATAGATCCCTGAACAAATACAATATTTTGTGTGTGTCCAATCAGCAAACATTGTCTGCAGATATCTACAGATTTTCATGGTTCAACCAATGTGATATGGCAGGAGAATCAAGGTGCTTTTCTAGCTCTTTGCCTAAGCAGTATTACTGGAATTTCTGGTAGGGCCCCGCTGTTCCTAATACAGATTAGACCTCCTTGTCTGGCACCTTTGGGACCTGACCAGTCCCAAAATAAGGATGTAAAATCCTATTTAATGAGTTAACTGGTTTAACCTAACATTTAACCAGTTAACTGATTAAACAGGACCCTAGCAAGGCTGGAGCAGCCCTAACCCAAGAGGCTCTCATCTCTGCCTGTTAACCAATTACCTGGTAAAGATGATGCTTACCAATTAACCAGTTACCCGTTCACATCCCTATTCTGAATGAGGGTGTTAGCAACACCTTGCCTCCAGCCTACTGCCAGCTCCACTTCCAACCTGACTGACCCCCTGCCTCTGGCCCGGCTGGGCTGCCAACCCCAGCCAAGCAGCTGGATGCTGGCCTCAGGCTCCCCTACTGCCAGGCCCAATCTCACTGTTAGCAGCTCCTGCCCTTGCCAGGCACCAGCTGACATCCTCAGGACAGCCTGGCTGTAGCAGTCTGGTCAGGCGTGTCAAAGAGGAGTCATCAGTGTGCGCCAGCTGGGGAGTCTGGGCCCTGGTGGCAATGCATGCCAGCGGGTGCCTGTAAGCACCGGACTTGAGAGGATGGCCAGGGGTGCTTGCACCTGGCCCTTCTGACTGCACTCTACCTGCGGAACTGGGGCCAGCCTGATGCTACCTGCCAGTGAGGACAGGGTGCCAGTGGGGGC